TTTTGTCTGTTTACCTGCTTGTTGGATGAAACCAGAAAGGTTCCTCTATGCATTTCCCATGGGTGAGGCAGGTGGAAAACCGGCAAAAAGCTCCTCTACGGATGTACGTCTGCCCGTGGGAGTTGTCAGGGGCCTGGCCCCGAAGGGGACACAGCTGTCCTGAAACTGAAAAAGGACCCAGCGGTCCGAACTGAAAAAAAGCAAGAAAAGCACCGCTCCTGGAGCGGGATCCCATGCCTGACCTTCAGGAAATGCACCCAACAAGTGAAAGAAGAAATAAAAAGCAAGATGTCAGGTGGCAGTGCTTGCCCGTGTAAGTCAGTGAACTGAGTGGGCAGGCCTAAGCTAGGTCACCTGGTTATGACCAAGATGGCGGCCCCCAGGTTAGCCCACGTGGTTGAGATGGTGACCCCCGTAAGCACATTCTCAATTGCCAGAAAAGTTTCAAACCTCATTCATGTGAAAAATGAAAACCAGCAAACAAAAAAACTCTTAGAGCGTCTCAGGCAGACATTGCCAACCAAGAAGAAACACAGTCAGACATAGAACAATCAGAACAAGGAGGGACATTCCCAGGTGAAAGTAATTTCCCATTGGGAGGCAGAACTCCGCTCATTTACCTACTCGCTGGCAGTAACCGAAAGATCCCATAAAAATGTATTTCCCGTGGGCAAGGCCAAAAATGGTACAGATTGCCCTGTCTGAGAGCACCCAGCCCAAAACCGAAAAATGGACCCAGAGTGAACAGTGTTGGGTCTGCCCCATGGAAAAGGTTCTAGGTATCTTACCGGATTGCAGAGAATAATCAGATTAGTGAGTTCTAGAAATACTTAGTTGGAAAAGCGGCGAGTTGAGTTCCAGCATTTCAGGCTGCTGCAGGCAGGAGGGAGTACCAGGAAAAGCGAAGATGGAAGTGGGCTATGAGTTCAGATTTTAGGATCCCCGAGAGTTCCCGTGCTCCTGGCAGGAAAAGTTACAAAGAAAGACTATCCCACCAGCTAGCTTTGGGAGAGGGTCTACGGAGAGAGCCTAAACCAAGTCGGGCGCCAAAATGTTATTCTTTTGTTTAAAAAGAAAAAGAGAAATTCTGAGACATGAGACATAGACTATAAGTTTATTATAAGGCCCAGCAGAATGGAGAGACTAAGAAGAGGAACAGGGTAAATGGCTGACCGCCACGGCCGGTCGCTATAGAGAGACAGAGTGAGAGCATAGGTGGGAGACAGTAGAGACAAAGCAGATCGGGGAAACAGAGGGAACAGAGAACAGAGAGCGTAAAGGGGCAGGGACTTATCTTTTAAAGGGGTCCTCTGCACCTGCGTGCAGACTTAGTTCCCATGGAACCTTGGGCTGACCAGGGTACTGACCAGGTAACAGGGGCAGGCCAGCATAATGCCTGAACCTTTCAGGTAGTACCTCTAGATGAGCGTTTTGATTCTGTCTTGGACATTTTCAAATGAACACACTTGGTACTTGGTATTTCCATCTGCAAGATTTCTGACTGCAGATCTGCACCATCAGAAGACAACGACAGAAGAAACATCAAGTGGCCAGGCCGTCCCACAGCTCTAAGGCCCTCTGGTCTGATACCGAGTGGCTGTCTATTTCTGAGAACCAGAGTCAAGTCATGGAGTCGCACATACCTGCCCTTCCCAGAAACCCTAGCACACCGACCCTTCATCACTTACATTTGTGTGTGCGCACACGACAGATGATCACAGATTAGCACTGAGTAACTACTATGTTTTGAGAGTAGTGGTATGAGACTGTCGGCTCATCTATATAATTTACTTTGTGTTTGTGTAAACAATGTAGCTGACCCTCAACCAATATTGTCTTCAAAGTAGAGACAATGATGCTTGAGAAATATCCACAAGATTGCTTGTATATATATATCATCACAACTCCAGGAACAAAAAACATTTCTCGGCCCTGTTCCCTGAAGACTGTAATTACTTAATATTTTAAATTATATTTTCATGTTTTCCTTTTTGCTAGGGTCACTATATATTAAGGTGCTGCACATTCTGCCGAAAGAGAGGTGGTCTCCTTTTCCTTTTAGGGTCTGAAAGACAATGCCATTTGGAAAATCACAAGTTATGAAATAAGATATTAATAAAATTGATCAGATTGCTTTTCTACTCTTTCAGTCCTTTAGTGTGAACTGCTCAGTGGACACCTTGCTCATGTAATTAATTTTTTATTTATTTCCATATTTCTGTATTTGTGTGTGTCGCACGTGCATCTTTGCAGGGTATGCACACATGAGTGCAGTGCCCACAGAGACCAGAAGAGGGTGCTAGATCCTCCTGGAGCTGGGTTACAGGCAGCTGCAAGTCATTCAACATGGCTCTTGGAACAGAATTTCGGTTCTCTGCAAGAGCAGTGTGTGCTCACAACTGCTGAGGCGTCTGTTCAACACTCCCGCATCTATCGAGTAGCCTGCTGACAACGAAATCCATGCAGTGGAGTAGAAGGGCGTCGTCTTCCCATTTACATATTTAAATTCTCACTGATGCGGGATTCTCTGCAGGGGCTTTGTCACTTCTGAAGACAGATTTTGTAACTCTGGACACTGTTGCAGTTGGCTTGAGACAGTGAAGAAAAGCCACATTGATTAAAACAAAAGATAGTAGAATTAGATTATGAAAGTATTGGAACCACGTTTGTGTACAGGGTTGCATGCTGACTTCCTTCATAATGTGGACTGTTATGCCATCTGCATCCTTTGGTGAATTTTCCCCCAATAAGTACAACAGTGAGATTTCCTGTTCTGTTTTCACTCCTGTAATCAGGCCACAGAGGAGTGACATGGTTGAGTCTTCAGGGTGTGGGCGGCGTGGGACGGCTTTCTGACTTTCTGTGTTAAGTTCTCAGTGTTTGTAGTTTCTGCCTCCCGACTTTGTGAAGACTTGCAGGCCCTGACTCTGTTTTGTTTGGGTTTAAACTAGCCGGGTTAAAGTGTTATCTCTCTTAAATCCCATGTATCTGACGTCACTGGGGCTGAGTAACTGTGTCTACCAGCTGCGGAGGCTTCTTTGCTTGGGGGATTGTGCTCTTCATATCTGCTGACTAGTTCTGCCTTCCTCATTCACACCAGTCTGTTTGAATGTGTTTTACACAGCCCTCCACCCTCAGTTCCCAGGACTGCAGACAAATCTCCAGCCAGGGCCCTTGCTTCTCGATCAGTTTAAGGGGAGTATGATGCTTGACAGGACCCAGAATGGCTGCAGACGGGGCCTCTGGATGCCCACGAGGGAATATGTAGATGAGGCTGAGGCAGGAGGGACCCACAGGTGGGCAACACATTCCTCAGGCAGCGTCCTCCCCTAGTGAAAATGGAGACAGGGACCCGAGCACCAGCTCTGCTTCCTGACTGTGGGTCACGTGACCAGGCCCACCGCCAGGGACTGCACCCTGGCCCTGGCACTGTTGGCGCAGGTGACCTCTCCCACCCAAGTCACCTTTGGCTCTCTTCTCCCGCTTTGATAGTGACTCTGCTGGTGGGCACATCGGGGCTGGTGCCCAATAGCCATTTTCTGTACGGAGCTCTGAGCCACAGCCTCTTGCCCTTTCTTCCAGGTCATCGACTACATCCTGCCACCCTTGGTCTCCTTGGTTCAAAGCCAGAACGGTGAGTGAGACTGTGGTACTGAGAATCCGGTTTTGTTTCTTGGGGATGACTGGGTGCTGCTGGGGACCTGGGGCAACCTGGTCCCCACCACCCAGCTGCCTTGGAAGCACTTAACGGCCATGATGAGCAGGCATTCTCTCCTTCCTCTGTCTGCATGGACTCACGTTCTCGGCATTCTTTTCTTCATTCCAGTGGAGTGGAGACTCTTCAGCCTGCGGTTGCTGTCTGAGACCACAACCCTGCTGGTGAGCCAGGAGCTGGAAGATGGCGATGAAGAGGCCAGCTGTGATTCCGACAGCAGCCTTCTGGCGCTCCTCAGGGATGAGCTGCTCCCCCAGTAAGCACCATGCTGTCTGCCCACATGGGGACGCTTCCGTCCAGCTGGCCCGACAATGGGGTCAGGTCTTGATGTCCCCGTGTCTTTGTACACACGCCCTTGGTCTCACACTCGAGAGGTCTAGACACAGGCTGTGACTGCCCCACTGTGGAGGACCCAGCAGAGTCTCAGCCCCACTTCACAGCCTCTGTGGGGCGTTGTTTGCTGGGTACAGTGCTCTGACCAGACTGAAGGATGTTCCTAGCTGCGGGCGGATGGAGTCTAGTGGAATCGATGAAGTGGCCCCATCTTCTTTCTGGAGACTTCTATGATTGCATAAGTCGGGTTCTTCTTTCTTTGATGGTTCCTTCTTTAGGCATCTACACATCCAATGTCTTTTGGCTTCCTCTTAGGGGAGACAAATGCCACATCTTCCCAGAAAACCATCCTGGTTTTTATTCAGTGAGCAGCCCAGATTAGATTTCAGAGGGTCATGCTAGACAGAAGAGATTGTAGTTAATGATACTTAAGCCCATATCTTTGTTAGTTAACATCAGATCTCTCAGGAGTTTGGTGCCCAAACACTGTTGGTGAAGTTTGGGAAATGAAAGTGGCTTGTGACCATGAGAGTTGACTGCAGAAGGTGAAGTGGTGTCTTGATTGGGACAGGTCTGGAACCGTCTGTCACTTGGGAAACTCATCAGGACCGTACTTAGGGAGCAAGAACTCACTGTTTACAGAAATATAATTGTCTCAGTTTAAACCTTGATGGGATTTTAACCTTAGGGTAGCATCATTTGACATTAGAGTAACATCTGGAATTGTGGCGCTCAGAACAAGACCCAACAGTCACCGGCCAATTGCAGTAGACTTTGTCCTTGCCCGGGAAGAGAGGTGGGAGGTAGGTGTTTGGGTCAGCTTCTCCTGTGCAGGGGTGAGGTTTGTAGGTACAGGGTGGAAATCCAGGGGCGAGGCCGTAGATAAATAGTGGCAATCCAGGGACTGAAGCAGTATTATAAAGGGGTGGACAATGCTCATGTCATTTCCAGAATAGGCAGAGATTTTTATAAAAATTTTAAAAAGATTTTTTTTCTGATTATGTGTGGATATGTGCATACATGAGCGTGTGTGCCTAGAGAGGCCAGGAGACTTTCTTCCTTGAGATGGTTCTGGTACAGCCTCATCATTGTCACGTAAGCACCCCCATGGAGGGGGCTGGGTTCTGCAGGGTTTTATTCTTTCAAAGATGGCACCAAGGAAAGGGGCAGGGCATGGCTGTCCTCTGTACCTCCAGTGGAAGTAAAGGATCCGATGGAGGCAGGGTGCTGGCTGTCTCCTCAGGTGGCGTGAGCGAGTGAGCATTGGGCCTGTGGGAGCTTCAGTTATGTATGAGACTTTGGGGAACATGACATGTGATATTGGTGGAGAGGCATGGGAATGACAGAAAAAAGCATTTCTGTCTTGACTTCGCAGTCAGGGTAAGTGAGCAGGCCTAGGGGAAAGTCTGTTGCTTGGCCTGACTTTGGTCACTTGCAACAGTTTTGAGCTTTGCAGTTTGTTTATATATTTATTTTTTAGCAGTGTTCAGCATGGAAGGCTCACACTGATAAGATGTGTTTGCAATGTCATTATGACAGAGTGGCGCCCGGCATCCCTCTCCCGGGAAACAGGCGCAGCCTTTCTTTCCTTTTCATCGTAAAAAAGGAACTCTCCCGTGACCTGCAAAATCATCAGGGCCATCATGACTTCATAAATCACCAGGCTCCATTCTTTAGATGCAGGGGAGGAACATATTCCTCCTCACAGGTTAGAAGGCGTTTTCTGTGAGAATTTGGGATTTAGATGGATTCCCACCCACTGATGGGATTCCCAACACACTAAGCGTTCGGTTAGCCGTTGCAGGAATACCGTCCAGCAATGACCGTGACTTGCACTTTCTAATTTCTGGTCCTGTGTCTCAGAAGACATCTGGAAGTTTCTTTGGTTCCCTCAGGGCACAAGGATAGTGCTCCCATGTGTGTAGCTCCATTGGGGAAACTTGCCCAGCAGGTGCGGAGAGAGGAGAAAGAGGAGTTGGGCAAGAGAATGTGCAGTGTTAGAGAGCAGCTAGCGGGCGTGTCTGCACTTCTCTGTGTGAGGGAACTGAAATGTGGGATTCTTTCCCTGAGACTGAGCTGAGAGCCCTCACTGTCAGCACTGGTGTCTCAGCCATGGGCACAGCCATGGGCAGGAACCAGAGGTGGGGTGCCTGAGAGACACCAGCATGGACGCCTTCTGCTCTCTGGTTTCTCTCTTGCTGGCTGCACAGCTCAGTGCCGACTTTCCTGAGTCACAAGGAGTGGGTGTCGCCACCAAAGGTCCCCCGGCCTAACCTGTGCAAGTCGTGTGCTCACAACTATGTGTGCTATCCCCGATGTTGGCGTGCCACAGCCTGTCATTGTCTGACGTTTAGGTCACATGAGGGGGAAGGCCGTCATCTCTGGTGTTTTGTTCCTCAGGTATGAGCACATCCTCATGGAGCCTGACCCTGTTCCGGCCTGTGCCCTGAAGCTGCTTGTTGCTATGACGGAACACAACCCGACTTTTGCCAGGTACCGGGAGGACAGCACTGCAGCTGCCAAAGCCGGGGTGGGTGGTGGGTGGGGAGGGTGTCACTGTCCAGATCCCCTGCTACTCGCTGTCGTCATTGATACTGTCTTGGCCCGAATTCTCATGTTTTAACTCCTTACTTGAGTTTGTGCCCTGTGGAATGAGTGATGCTTCATAGTGATGACACAAGGACTGGGGAGATGGCTCAGAGGACTGAGTTAGAGTGGGAAAACATCCGTAAAACTCAGATGTAATGCTAAGTCTTTACTCCAAGTGTCCGAGCCCTGCTGCCACGTGGGCGTTTTCCACCAAGCCCTGAGTTCCGCCTGCCGTGTTAGGTCCCCAAATAACACACAGAGACTTACATTATTTTACAAATGCTGCTGGCCAATTGACTAGGATTCTCATCTGTTAGCTCAGTCTTAATTATCATAAATCTATATATTTTATAAGACTTATCGAGGATGCCTTCTGCTGGCGCCCTCTTCTTGGGATCACATGGCAGCTCCATTGAGAAGGGAGCAGGAGGAAGAGGAAGAGCAAGAGAGCAACTTCCTGCTTGTCCTGGCTTAAATTCCGAATCTGCCTGCTGTGTCTCCGCCTGCCTGGATCACCAGACTTCTCTTTCCTACATTTCCCAGAATCCTCCTCAACCCCTAGTCCCACCTGTCTTGCTCCCCTATTGGCCAACAGTGCTTTATTCAACGTCCAATAAGATAAACACACACAGAAGGACCTCCCCCATCACTCAGTTCACAGATGAGTGTCTGTAGTCCCAGCACTCCCAGAGCCAGGAAAATCCTGGAAGCCAGCAGGCCACCTAGGCCAGTGTACACAGGGAAAAACAGCCAAGAGACACTGCTTCAAAGCAAGGCAACAGAGGTTGGGACAAGCTGAGGTTGTGTTCTGAGGGACACGTGTGACGTGGTACATGTGTTAACTGTGTGGTAGGAGCACACTGGCTCACACACACACACACACACACACACACACACACACACACACACACATCTTTTACGTACGCACACAACCCAAATGATTAAAAATCTCTCTTCAAGTAAAACACGAAACTCAGTACACAACAGCGTTTTGTTTTTGGTGTGTGTGTGTGTGTGTGTGTGTGTGTGTGTGTGTGCATGGTGGTTTTTTTTTTTTTTTTTCTTTTTTGAGACAAGGTCTCACTCCATAGTGGAGGCTGGCCTCTAACTCATCGTGTCCCCCAGGCTGACACCAAACTGGCATGGATCCTGCCTGCAGGCATGTGCCACCATATCCAGACTACACGGTTTTAAACGTCAGGGTGCCCTTTTCTGCAGCGAACGGCCATTACATCTTGGTTGGATGTGTTGGCGTTTTTTTTGGTTCCACCGGGCTTAGCCAATGCGACTTTGAGCAGTGGAAAGCTTTGTCCTGTTAGGAGCTCCACAGACAATGCAGGCAAGCCTCACTTTCTTAGGGACTTGTGCTGCTCACTGTACCCTGGCATGACAACTCAGGGTCCACCAAGCCTACACTCCTTTCCTTGGTCCATTTTAGACCCCTTAGTCTGCGTGCTTCATCCTCTCTTCCTAAGGACTTTCATTCTGAGGTTTCTTCCAACAGCCACGGAGTCGAGTGGAGATTCAAGCCTGGTGTTGCCACCTTGAGGACTTTCAAAGTCAGCTTCATCTGTAGACATGCTCTCACCCTGGAGTCTCCTGGGAAGGGCGACCCTCAAATGAGCACTGGTCTCCACCACATGAGCTGCAGGTGTAGCTGTCGGGCATTTCCTGATTGCTAATTGATGGAGAAGGTCTCAGCCCACTGTGAGCAGTGCTGTTCCCAGCAGGCGGCCTGTGCTGTGTAAGAAAGTTAGCTAAGCAAGCCAGTGTGCGACATTCCACTGTGGTTTCTGCTCCAAGCTCCTGCCTGAGTTCCTGCCCTGGCTCCCCTCCCTGATGGAGTGTAACCTGTAGGATGAAACACAGCCTTGCCTCCTCCACTTGCTTTGCCATGGTGTTTATCCACAACGGGAGGAGGGAGGGCACGATTGTGCTGCTGTCGTCTTTTCAGGTCGTTGGCCTTGGCCCATCTTGTTTGCTGTTTTCTGTGCTGGGATCGAGGCTTGCCAGACAAGTGCCAGGGAAGCGCTCTGTGGCTGAGCTGCACACTGCCCTTATTCCCTTATTTCCCCACCGCAGGCTGACCTGAGACTCTCGACTCCCTGTGCGCTCTCCTTCTTTCCTAACGATTGCACACTCTTGCAATTGTGTGGCATTTCCTCTGTCAGGATGAGCCTCTGAGCCCTCGAGAAGTAGGGACACAATGAGCCTCCACAGAGCCGTCTCATTTTGAAAATGATTACATCGAGGCCTAGAAATGAACTCACTGTACTTTTTTTCCCCTAAGCACTTTAAGAACAGGAGTCAGTGGACTGATTTTTAGACGTGTTTTGTTTTGATCTGGACAAGTAAATATTAGAATACATTATCTCTGTCTTCTACTACTGTTAGAAGTAAAGCCAGTGGGTTCACCCCCCCCCACCGTGTGTCTGACTCCGCCCTCCCAGTGCAGGGGTTGGAATTTTGGCATGTGACCACCCGGACAGCTCATATACGTATCCTCTGGGAGATGTGTGTGTTCTGAAGTGTTGGAGCTTTGTGTTGTGGTGGTCGATCTTTAAAAATTTAGACTATCTTTTCTTGTTATCTTGAAAATTGATTTTTAAAAAAAATATCTGGTGCTCTTTGCATCCAGTGTGTATTTGTGCTGGTGGTGATGCCTTGGCTAAATTAAACTAATATGTGAAAATTGGATTTCATTTTATTCAGCATTCACCCAACTACTCATAATATTGAATTTTCTCAGTTTTTCATTCTCTGTGTCAAATTAAAATAAAAGAGCTACATTGTAGGCTAGGTATGGTGGTCATCATTAACCCCAGCATTCTGGAGGCAGAAGCCGGTGGATCTTTGTGAGTTCCAGGGCAGCCTAGTCTATATAGTGAATTCCAAAAGAAGAAAAAAAGTTGAGCACTGCACAACCGAAAGCAAGTTAGGGAGGAAGGGTTTATTTACACTTCCACATCACTGTTTATTACTAGAGGAAGTCAGGGCAGGGACTCAAGCAGGGCGGGAACCTGGAGCAGGAGCGGATGCAGAGGCCCTGGAGGGAGCTGCTTGCTGGCTTGCTCTCCACGGCTTGCTCAGCTGCTTTCTTACAGAACCCAGGATCACCTGCCCAGTGATGACACCGCCACCCACCATGAGCTGGGCCCTCCCCTGCCAATCACTAATTAAGAAAATGCCCTACAGCTGCATCTTATGGAGGCATTTTTTCAGTTGAGGCTCCTTCCTCTTTGACTCTAGCTTGTGTCAAGTTGACACAAACCAGCCAGTCAGCGCAATAGTTATGGGCTGGAGAGATGGCTCGGTGGTTAAAAACACTGGCTGCCTCTCTAGAGGAGCTGGGTTCAGGTCCCAGCACCCACATAACAGCAGCTCATAACCGTCTGTAATTTCAGTTCCGGGGGAATGGTGCCATCTTCTGGCCTCTGTGGGAACTGCATGCACACGATACACAGGCACACAGGCAGGCAAAACACTCATGTAAATAAACAAAGTCACATCCCCTTCAGTCTTTGTCTAAGAATGTTCCTTAGGCAAAAATTAAAGTTCACAGGTTTCTCCCGAGGCAAGTGATTTTTAAAATGGGAAGATTTTATATAACTCGCCGGACTATATATAAGTACAAAATTAAATTATGACACAGCCATGATATACGACAGTATACAATAGCCTTAAAGGGGCAAGGCACATTTAAAATACTAATACACAAAAATAGCTGAATCATTTTATTAAATGAAGTAAGTAATCTACTTCACTCATTCATTGATTTGCTGACTATTCATTCATTCATTCTTCTTGAGAGATGTTCTCACTATGTAGCCCAGCCTGGCTTTAGATTTGTGGCACTCCTCCTGCCTCAATCTCTGAGACTGCAGGCATGTGCTATGTGCCTAGAACCTCCCCTTCCCCCAAACCACCACCAGATGCTGGGATCAAAGCATGCCAGGGAAGTGCTCAGACCTGTACAGAGTGATCAACACGATGTCTTCCTGTCTCCCCCTTGCCGAGAACCCGTGTGCAGTTTACAAATGTGCATCCAGCCACTCTGAGGGAAGCTTGCAGCTAGACTTCGTGTTTTGTTTTTATTTCCAGAACTTAGTTAAAAATACACTTTGAGTAGAGTGTTTTGCAGATTTTTTTTTTTTGACTCTCATGTAGTCTAGGTTGTCCTTGAACTTGCTATGCATCGATGGCTAACCTTGAACTTGTGATATTCCTGTGTGCACCTCTGGACAGAATGAACAGCACTGCAGTTCTGGATCTCCCATCTGCATCTAACAGACCCCATTCTGGAGAGAGTGTTTATATTGTAGACTTGGAGATGTGGTTAACATGGGCTGATTGTCTCTCGTGGGCAGATAGCTACAGAAGGCACCGTTTCATCAAAGGGTCTGAGCTGCCGGTTCCCTGGTGTGTCTCTAGTCGGACTCCTTAGCCCCTGCTGTTCCCAGCCGACAAGCTGTCGGGTGAACACGAGGGGCGTGCTTTTACGTAGCTGTCACTCTTGTATGAAAAGTGAGTGGCGTTGCTTGCCAGCATAATTGCAGAATGGTGGTTGGTCATGTCTTGATCTGTTGTCTCCACGTTCACTTTCTTCGTGTCCGAATGGCATGTTAACCAATCTTCTGTTTCTGTTTGGGCCTCGTGCTGAGGGCTGTCAGCCCTAATTCTGGCAATCGTCTGCAGTCTCATTCTGTTCCGAGTGACTTGGTGGCCATGGGTTTGTGTAGATGCGTGTCACGAAAAGCAGTCTTTAAATGTTCTGTGAAGATGTGATTCTTGTGAAATAATAACCAGGAGCCATTTGTAATCAACACACTGATCGGACCATAACTCTCAGTTCTCATGGGAGCATCTATCTTGTCCGCACTGAGAACCAAAATACCCCGTGTCAC